TAGTGTATTTTTAAACATCAAGAAGTCACAAGCATAAGGAGAACACTCCATGTTTAAAGAAGGAAGGTGTATTCATAGAAATGATTTATTAGTAAGAGAGACATACGAACATAATTAAATCACATGTTCAAAGCACAATATCAGCTTGATCTCAGACAGAACTGCCACATGAAATTAAACAGAAGCTGTCAGTTGAATCATGATGAAGCTGTCCTTTATGAGTGGACTCAAGCTGCTCTATATTTCTGGCCACCAGATGTCACCAAAGAGGACTGTGTTGACAAGCTTAGAGTAATGAACCGTTTTTCAATACGAGCTTCAGAAAGCTTCATTTGGCCATCTGTATACAAAATATACAAAACAACTAATCTAGCCCACCAGACTTGACAGGTCCCAGTTTATAGCCAGCTCTATTCAGTCTTAAGCAAAAAAAAAAAGAAAGAAAAAAAAAGTTGCTTTTACCATAATTAGATAACCTACAATGTTTTTAATCAATCACTGATGGTAGTAAAAGAATTGTTTTTGACTATTATCACGAGCTCTCTGTTTCTTTTCCAGACAACGTCCAGCAATGGGAAAGTGTTTAGCAGCCTTCGCAGCAGCATTCCCTGTTGCCTTTCTCGAGCCTCACATGAACAAGTTTAACAGCTTTTCCATCTATAACAGCAAAGGAAGCAAAGACAGAGCAGGTGAGACATAAAGAAAATGATGGAACATACAAATCCGGAGTTAACGACTTTCTTAGAGTGACATTTCAGCGAGCACTGAGGGCTGTACTTTGTCACAGGACTGCATGTTTCTTTATATTTTACTAAAACTGGAACCATGAATACACATTACACTACATACCGCACCAACGAGCTTTTACTACATCTCAGAAACAAATAGAAATCGCCGTCATGTCACTCTTAACTCTGTTTACACGTTAACTCTTTGATAAAACCAAAACATTACATGAAACATGTCTGGGTTGATTGAGGAAAGGGAGGAAGGTTTCAAGAAATGTCTTAGTAAACTATGAAAAAACTGGAGTGTGCAGTATATACATTGTGTTTGTATCTCTTGGAGACACCTACTATAACAGGAAGTACCACAAAGTGGTTCGAATACTTTTGCAGCTGTCTGTCCTACATTTGTCTGACTAACAGATTCTCCAGTTGTGTATTTCGAATAAAAAAACATAAATCCAAAACTAAACGATGGCTGTGAGGTCTGAGAACTCATCAGTGTCAAAAATCACAAATCAATCTGTTTTCATTCCACGACTCTTTCCGCCTCTCAGCTCTAGGCCTTCCTGGGCAGGTTGGGGAGGTTTGTTCACTGATCCCCAATTTGGAGAAGTCTTTGGAGGAGATTGTAGAGCTAGCAGAGTCCGGCATGAAGTACACGCAGATGCCTCATGTTATGGAGGTAACTCTCTAATAATTAATAACTACAGTATCACCTTTGATATTCTTTCCTTAAGTTGCTTCATGTCATCGAAAAATTGCCCACGGAACCAAAAGAAGTGGATATTTGTCCTGTAGTGAACACTTCAGAGCCAAAGATGGGTAAAAAACGACACACGATCTGATATCGTCGTGTTGGTGTTGTTCCCAGATCATCATACTAAATGTTGTTCCAGGATCAACATTGCAAGTGACCAATCAGAATGTTGTG